AACTAGGTTCTCTTAAAAAATGATGCAACTATTACAACAGGATGTTAAAGTAGCATTATTTTCTCATATTTGTAGATGTTAGAAGCAATTTCTTTATAAACAGCTCCTCTAACCGGAGTTATTCTAATACTGTTTGAACTAGGTTCTCTTAAAAAATGATGCAACTATTACAACAGGATGTTAAAGTAGCATTATTTTCTCATATTTGTAGATGTTAGAAGCAATTTCTTTATAAACAGCTCCTCTAACCGGAGTTATTCTAATACTGTTTGAACTAGGTTCTCTTAAAAAATGATACATTTTATCTTATTTCTGGGAGGAAAAAATAATAAGTTAAATCACAATGAAAGAAGTCAACTGGATAAACAAAGATTATCATTATACTCTTGTTTTAAAGAAATTGGTGAACTAATTTATTTTCTCCCTAAGTGTTAAAACTAAAATATCATATCTGTACCTGCTGATGTAGATTTAAATTATTTTTATCTTCCAAACTCATAATATATGCTATTAATTTTATCAGTTGGAATTCTGAAACTTTTCTGAGCATCAGACATCGCCCAATATGTCGCCTTGTTAAACAAGAAACGGTATTTTGTCTTACGTTGTATATGAATTTAAATCTTGCAAATGCATTTTTAGACATTTAAAAATACATAATATCGATAAACTTTTAGGTCATGTATAGATAAACAAGTTCCTGGATCCTCTTAATTAATCAAACGATCGATGTCCACTGAACTACTTCACACGTGTGAAGTTGGGGTATTTGTGCTTCAGAAGTAAAGTGCATACTTTCAATTTGTAGATTGTTATCTTAATTTCTCTCATAACACAAAAATGTTATCTATTTTTTTATCATTATCTTGTTACGAAGCGTTATAAAATTCATAATTCTGTTGCACAACGATGATACGATTCCACGTGTATGAATACGTTAAAATACGTGAATTCGTACCCTCAAAGCAGTAATGCGTGATTTGCGTTACTCAAAGCCCCAGGACTCCATGGTAGTTATAACCCACAGTACGAAAGCTAAAACAAACTAAGTTGAGACAAGACTACGCTAAAATGGATATGTGTACATGATATATTACACTAAGCACAGATTTGTTAGTTTTAAATATATTATTATTTTTTTCATAGCCACGATTTTTGCATTTTGAAAAACAAGCTTATGCGGTGGTCACCTGAAATAAGTTATCTATTCAAAATGCCTTTATATTCTTAAACTTTAACACAGATACATACAAAGTCCATGTGATTATATCATATTATGCTTGCTATTGGCGATAAGAAAGCTGAGAATAGTTAAAATAATTGTTTCATCATTTTAAATTGAGTGTATACCGATTTTCTGAACATCCATAACCAACATTGTTATTTATGGGAAACATTACAGCTGCTTTGTATCAAGAAACATGAACATAAAAGCTAAAAAACTAATAACGATGACCTACAAAAAGGTCTAAGATAAAATTCGTCTTGAGTTTCTTTTGCCTTTTTAAGCCTCACAGATTACCTTTACTGTTTTCAATCCTTTTCCATTTTAAATCTTGATACTTCTCCCTGTTGGCGTTTTTCTTACATTTGGCTGGTGATGTTTTTAAGCAGCGTTTTCATAAGTAACGTGTTTCGCTGTTTACTTAATAAAATCAACAAGAAATTTCAAACATGCTCATTAAATTATAGAATAGCCAGAGAAAACATAAACATAGTTCTATTTAAACACTTGCAAAATATTTGATTTAATGTTTTATGGTATTTTTATATCTAGTAAACATTCTTGAAGTGTTATAAGATATTTTTATGAAGATACTATACGTTGTTTCCTCCAATAAATCTTACCTCTGCTGTGCCATCGCTGATACGATTTTGTAGGACTGCGGATTCGGATAATTCTTCATTGGGAAGCTGTTTCTGCTTCTGGACTTCGGGCAGAGCTGAGGACTGGGATGTCCGTGAGGCACTGACCACCATGTTTATTCTAATACTTAATTAGATTGAGGGATTTTTGCAGATAAAAACTCCAAAAAATTAAAAGCAACTCATGTTACTTACGAGTTCATGTATACATTTTAACAATAAATATTCTGAAATTATGTTGAGATTTCAAAATCAGATTTAGAGTTTACTACGTATTCATTAAGACGATTCGGAAGAACGCTAGAGATTCGCAAAGTTCAACCGAACAATAAATATTATTTGTTTGCAGTTTAAGCAAAGTTCCCGTTAATATTCAGGTCGAACAGGAGCGAATAAGTGCAGTGGTTTTGCTGGTGGCACGGAGCTAACTGTTAGCGGGCTGGAATCTCATCCAGTAGGCGCCGCCACGGCCTTCTGTTGTATACGTCATAGCTCAACCAATGGTAGATACCAGTAGTAGACGAATTAACTATTTTTTTTTCTTTTGGTCCATATCACTCGTCTGTCATGTTCTTTTAACATTCATGCTCTTATTAATACATAGGAACAGAAAGCCAACAAAAAAATGCATTTTACAAAAACGGAACGACAATGCAGAATTTGAGACGATATCAAAACCTACAATATTCACGTATGCGAAGTCATTTTTAGCAGTTATTTCTCCAATATACCCAATCTATTTCCTTAGTCTTCCAAGATCATTTCTTATCCCAAAGGAGACTATAATTATTTAACATGAATAGTCTCACCTGAAGTCTACAGTAATAAATTACTCTGTATCTAACCAGTTGTGTTTCATTTTGTGTCTACTGTAAGACAGCACTACCCATCCGACCAGTAGTATCTCATCTTGAGTTGGCTTAATTGCTCTTTATCTAAATTGTTTGTTTGTTTGGAATTAAGCAAAAAGCTACACAATGGGATATCTGTTCTCTGCCCACCACGGGTATCGAAATCCGGATTCTAGCGTTGTAGGTCCGTAGATGTACCGCTGTGCCACTGGGGGGGGGGGGGGCTCTCTTTATCTAAATAGTAGTATCTTACCTTGATTGTGCTTAAAACAGCACTGCGCCTTAAATTAGCCAGTAGTGTCTTGTATGTAGAATAAAGTAAAAACATTTAACAGGTTATACAATGCTCGAATATGAAGCACTGTTTATTTCACAAACTGTGCATGATTTGTAGTGTAATATACGAGAACGCTGCATTTCTAATCAAATATATTTCATCTGCGGTTCAATGTAAGAAAGCACTCTGAATTTAATAAGTTGCATTTGAATTGTGGTACAGAGTGCAGAGTTAAATAGTTAAGTAATCTATATATAAAAGTATTATACCAAACATGAAAAAGCGAAATTTAAAAGCAATACTTACTTCTATGGTATATTTTTACAAATTACTAAGTCTCAGAATAATAGTGCTAGCTCAATTTTATAGGAAGCCTCTGCATATATTAATTTAATTGCTCAAGTGGAGCTTGTCTAAACACTACACGCAAAAACAAGTATTTTTAGTAGTTTCTGTCAATTCAAAATCTTGCATTAAAGCAGTATAGTTTCAACCGGTAAATAGTGCACATAAGTTTCAGTGAAATTGTATAAGCAGTTATTGTAATGTGATATGCGAATTCTAATATTAAAGCGTATTCCATCAACAGTTGATAGATGTTTGTTGTTTTCTCCTTCGTCACTACAAAAATGCCTACTTATGCAGAGAATTGCATTTACAAAAAAATAGAAAAACAGACCAAAGTAAGGCCTACATTCTCTGATACATTAATCAATGTAACCATGGTAACATGCATGAGAGGCTCAAGCTACAACAATATCTTTGAGCCATAACTACTTGCTGATATGGAAACCATCTTTAGCGTGGACGAAATATACAGAGCCATAAACATATCTAACGATGGAGCTATAGGTCGAGATAGTGTAAGAATTTCGTACTTTAAGAAATTTGAAGAAACCAACCTGTTGAAGTTAGTGCTGTAGTATCAATATATCTGAGCAACAAGTACCATCGCTGAAATATGAACTGGTGCGTCTTAAAGGTCCTCAAATCATCGTCCAACAAAATACTAATGGTAATATCCCAGAAAAAGCTGTAGAAGGCTTCCATATCAGACTGGGCCACTACTGCCATCATTATTAGGTGGATATTGTAGTAAAAAGTAAATATGAATCAATAATGCTGAATTCGCAGCTGATAATGGTAAGGCTTTGAAGCTGGGCAGGAATACCTTAGTAGGAGTTTCAAATATGTAAGATGCCTACAATTCAGCTGCACATTCTTGCTAATAAAATTCTTAGAATAGACATCACAGTAGCACATGTAATATGATTTGTAACTGTATTATCTTATTAGAAGATGCACCATGAAACAAAAGAGCTGGCAATCAGATTGTATCACCAACGACAATGGTCTGCATCAAGGATCACCACTTTCGAAATTCTTCTTCCAATCTATGCCATTGATCTAGTCCAACTTAACAGTCCAATCAAATGTGTTAACCTGTGTTGATGACATTCTAGTTAATACCTGAGGATTAAGCAAAGCCGAAATCGAAATCATAAGGCAACCAGTCCTTAACGTGGTGATAAAATAACACAATAATGGTCATCAGTCTTGCTAAAGCCCCATCCATGTTCTGCACAATCAACAACAGGCATGCTGATGTGAACAATCCTTCACCTTTCTTTGTGTACATTGCTATCATTCGGGAAGAAACAATGACACACCTCGAGACAACATTTGACGGATAACTCAACTTCAATAGCCACATTAATACCATATTATCACAAGCCTAAACAACATCACAGAATCCCAGAAGTGCTTACAAGCAACACTAATGTCTTGCAGTGTAAAGACCATGAATCATAGAATCAAGTTACTCCTATTTCGGGACAATCTAGCTCCACAATGACCAAGCCAAACAAAAGATTGCCTAAAAGGCACCTCTAGAAGCATTCATGAACATTTGTAGATAGGAGCTATACTGCTACCACTGAGATAATTCGCCATCACCATATCTCATACTTCCTCATGTGGAATAAACATTTGATTCCATTTGAATATGTATAAATCAGCCTTGATGGAAAAGAGAGAGATTGAGCATAGAGTGAAGCAGAAAAAGCATGTCAACCTTATTTAAATAGTTTTCAGCCTTGCAGATGAGGGGGGGGGCAAACCACTTTCAGATTCTCCACGATCCATTCAACTGGGCCTCCTCTTCGTTTTGAAAATCTTGGATCCGCTCCTGTTTGTTACGATGATAGATGAAAAAAAAAGATGATAATTTAAAAAGCAGTAAAGAAATCCATTGTTGTAGCAAGTATTAAGTCTGATCATTACGTTAAGTTTACAGTATAGGTGTGCGACTGGTAAAATCAGCAGCTATGGTAAAGACCATAACTTTTTCCACTCCTTCCCTCCCTTTTGAAAACAAACCATGAATTGAAAGTTTCAATGTGATGCTGTGAAACAAATAATATGTATGGAGACACTGGACGAAGTCACAAGAAAACCTAATCTTTTCATTATCTAATTTTGTTTTGGTTGGGATTTTAGTTCGTTTCTGTGAAGAAATCCATACACAGATAAACATATTTAGTGACCGTGCTAACAGATTTATAAAAACTATAAATCATGAACAGACACTATTGCTTCAACTTTAGAGTTCGTTTGTTGTTAAGTGCCAAGCTACACAATGGGCTATCTGTGCTTTGCCCACTGCGGGTATCTAAACTCAAGGGGGGGATCGTTTTTAGAAATTTCGAGCATTTTGGGATTCTAATTAAGATATGTAAAATTTACAACCATTTATATCCACAGTGTTTGAGGAACATGAAGTGACTGAAGTCGTTTTTACAAGTTTGCAACCTGCAACCCCCCGATAGCTCAAAAGTAAACCTGAGTGCTTATAACGCTAAAATGTGGAATTCGATGCCTGTCTATTGTACAATTTTGTACACACAAAGAATTTTATAAATTGTTTGTTTATAGTAAAGCACAAAGCTACACAATGGGCTATCTATGATGTGCCCCCCCCCCCCCACGTTTTTAGCATTATAAATCCTCAGACATACCGCTGAGTCACTGGGGGGAATTTGATAAATAAGCCAGGTTCTTTAAAGTTTCATTCTAAATTCTAGAAGATCTTGTATTATCAATTCAAATTAAAGAATTTCATGCAAAGAACTTCTGAAAAAATACTTTCAAAATAAGATGTATGGGTTGTGTTTTTTAAGTTAAGCATAAAGATACACAATGGGCTATCTGTGCTCTGCCCACTACGGCTATCAAAACCCGGTTTCTAGCGTTATAACTCCGCAGAGATGCTGCTGTGCCACTAGGGGCGTACGGATTGTGATAGCTTCAAGTATCTTGGATGAATATTTTGATTTATTTTTCTTTTATTGTTTTATACACGGAGGATGGCTAATAATTAACTAGTAAACAATATAAAACACTTTGGTAACATGACAAACAGTTGAGAAATTCAATATATGTGTGTCTTTTGAAAAATACTTCTTGTTCAAGGAACAAAATGGGAGAAAAATTTATTTGTCCTTAATAAAAACCTACTTGCCCCCATCGCCCCACAAAACCCACACTGAAAGTATAATATAACTTCAAGGATTTTACTTTTGTTTCATATTGATCAATGGATAAAAACGTGCTGGGATTCACACATTGAAAAAACGAGTTAAAACACCCTGACGGCTCAATTGTTTACATGTTAAAATACTCTGACGGCTCAATTGTTTACATAATTTCTATAGCTTTAATTTAGATTTATAATGTTTATTTATCATAATATCTACATTAAATGTGTTATTTTGCAAACATGGTACAAAGGTACCGTACGAGGATGTTTCTTTTTGTTAAAGTTATTAAAATTATGTATGTTTTTAAAACTGTCTGAATCGTGAAGAGTGAAACACTGAAACAGAGGTTCTTTTTTGCTACATTCTCGGTCTGTTGCTAGCTGTTACATTTGTTTAGAGTGCAAACTGATAAAGCAGACATGTGTGAATTTGAAAAATCATATTTGAAATATATAGATATGAAAAGCTTAAATGCAAAACGCTGTATATCAATTTTTGTCGTTTTGAAAAAATCACTTCTTCTGTAGCTTTCACAAAAAATGTTATGAAGTCAAAAATGAGCTATTTATTAAATAACACCATTACAAATTATCATATGAAAACCTAAAAGATCTAACTTTTCATTTATTTCAAATTTTACAAAATATATTTGGACAAAAAGCTTTATATTCATAAGCCTTTTAGTCAAAATGCTGCATATGTATTAAAACAAATTATATTGGACGCTCAATTTTGTGGGAAGACGCATTTTCCATCCAAGTT